CGAGCATTGAGGAGCGCTTGCAGGCGGCGACAGACACTGTCGTGAATTATGCTGCCAATAGGGGCCTCTCATGCTCTCCGCAAAAATCTGAATTATTCGTCTATAACCCAAAGTCTCTCCGATGCAAACGCAGATGGGATTTTAGCATTAAAGTAGAGGAGAAACCAGTTCCAAAGGTAGATCAGATCAGAATCTTGGGACTGTTTATTCAGGAGAATGGATATAATGATGGTGCAATCAAAAGACTAGAAAGATTTGCCACGCAAGCCCTTGGACTATTTAAAAGGGTCGCGCTGAAAGGACGAGGCCTGAAAGAAAGAAGCTTGCTTAAACTAATTCAAGCATACGTAATAAGCTGCGTGAGCTATGCCACGCCTTTCTTAAACATCAGGTCGGAGGAGAGAAGAAAACTAGACTCGCTCATCCGACGATGCACAAAGAGGGCCCTGGGCTTACCAATTAGCACCTCCACAGTGAAGCTCCTCGCTATGGGAGTGCACAATACCTGGGACGAAATAGCGGAGGCTGTCGGAATATCGCAGCTCGAAAGACTTAGCCGAACAACCACGGGCAGAGCTATCCTCGAGATGGTAGGCCTACAAACAGATAGGGGACTACGAGTCAAGTCAAGCATTCCGCAGGACTGCCGAGAAAACCTAATCATTCCCCCCCTCCCTCGTCACATGCATCCCATATTCAACACGGAGAGGAGGGAGAAGAGAGCAGAAGCACTAATCTGACGCTTCGATTTAATGGACAGCAAGTCGGTTGCGTATGTGGACGCGTCAAGTGGCAAGTCGGGTGCGGCGGTCGCCTCGGTGGTTGACGGCCGAGGTGCTCCCGTATCGGCCGCCACCATTAGAAGCCGCAACGCAGAAACGGCTGAAGAAGTTGCGATAGCGCTCGCTTGCGTTGGAACGAAAGCCAATTTTATTATTAGCGATAGCAAAACGGCCATCTGGAATTTTGGGAAGGGTAGGATCTCGCCGGAAGCGGCAAGGATTCTTACCGGTAGACAGCTAAACAGAAAAATTAGCCTAATTTGGACCCCCGCACACACGTCCGTTCCTGGCAACGAGGCGGCCCACGAGTTAGCCCGAGCTCTCTACTTCCGGGTAACTGTGGAGCCGCCCGACTGCCGGAACATGGACGAGCGTCTGCAAACTTATACGGAGATTGTGGAAAATTATAGATTACAAAGGAAACAGGTGCCACCACCAGACAAAAGTCTAAGCAATAGGGAGGCAGTCGCATGGCGGCGCCTGCAAGCTGGGAACTTCATAAACCCAGTCTGGGGATACCATGTTCGGATAGATGACAGGCAACACGATAAGTGCAAGCACTGTGGGGCGAGAGGGACCCTTGACCACATAATCTGGGAATGTGCTAGCTCCCCAGGGGCTAAAGCAAATATAAATTGTGGAGAAGCCTGGGAAGCTCTGCTGCAAAGCGAGGTCCCTGCTCTACAGCAGCAAGCCATCCGCCTGGCGGAAGAAGCCGCGAAGAGCCAAGACCTCTTTGCCTGCTTCTAACCGCGGAGGTCCCTGGCCCCGTATCCTAGGCCTGCGTGCCGGGGACGAGGACTAGGTGTCTCCTCATCTGGTGGAACATTAAAGTTGTTGTCTATCTATCTATCTAGCCATCTGAGTTGTTTGAAATTCCCGCGCGAGGTAATGCGGCTTTGACGTCATGACCCTATCGGCCAATCAGAATTTTAACGGCACGCCACCGACGCCGGCTTTTCCCGTCACGCCACCGACGCCGGATTTTCTGCGACACGAGCTTCTTAACGCTCCCTAATGTCATTTGCAGAAAAGAAACCCTGCCATATTCGTGGAAGGTGGCAAAGTATCTTCCTTTATTCGGGTGTGAGAAAACTCTAGTTGCACTAAAACTATTTCGATTCTAGCGGGCTCTTCTACGACTATTAGGCGCTAAGAACCACCTGTGACGTTTGACGTTCGTGACCACGTGTGCACTACACGGCATTGTAACACGATAGCGGCGCTTTTCCGCGTTTTACCTTAGAGAGGTATATTGCCGGGCATCGAACCGCTTAGGAGAGTGCCTCAAATGAGCTCTTTCCATCCCATCATAGTAGCTCCTTTGTCAGCCCTTCGATTCTTATACCATAGTTCCACACACATCTCCAAGCCGGGGTGCTCGCACATCATGCAAGCGACAGTCTGCAAACACGAGTCCTCGCAAGATCCGTGGTTCGAATACCGCGTGCCAAGTTTTTTCCTCGAACTCGTTGCCATGCGGCAATGGAAGCCCGGATCTCGCGTTCGAATCTCTAAGCAGACTGTCTTTTGTATGAGAGCAGTGTGACCCCGGCTCGAATTGTAATCATTACCCTCGTTACACGGGCGCACTTAACTGCAGTTACGCTAAACCACAGTCACCACACAATACTTGCGGACAGTTTGTGGCAACGCAGTCGAGGCTGTATGCGTGCACTTGAGCATCTTGAGCACTCATCGAAACAGTGCACGCGCACTCTTCACTTGTTCTGAAATCGCTGTACAGTACGTTTGGTGACGCGTGACAGCAGTTAAAGGCGAGTTAACTCTGGTGAAGTGTACCCGTGTAACATGGGTATAACTGGGGTTAACTATGGTAAGAGTACCCGCGTAACTGCTGACCATACTTAAGCGTAATTACGGCTTAACATAGCCGTCGGACACACTTAACCGCAGTTAAGTTTGTTCTGGTCACAGTGCGGTTAAAGGTGCCAGTGTAACTAGGGTATTAAAAAAAATAAAAGAAAACGGAGATCGCTCGTTTCTGTTAGCAGTGTCGCTCGCTGTACAAGTGAGCAAACACTGTAGTGTGCCGTGTGTATCTTCCTAACAGACGACCAACCAAGGCGTCTGCTGTGCTGAACAATAACTTTTGCACTTTCCCTGGTACTTGAAGCATGTTCCTTTTACCCAAGGTTTTGTGGTACCGCATACTCATCCGTTACGTGTTTTTGTTGCTGTGACCAATGAGTCGCATTTGTGATACTCATTTTTCTGTTGCCTTTTCTTTCTAATTTCTCTTCCCTTTATACCCTCGTAATTCATTTTTTTCTTCTTTACTTCACACTTTTAAGGTAAGACTGGTTCACACATTTGCTTTTCGAGTGTGATCAACTGCGCTACGACCACAAGCGACGACTTACGAATAAGGACGAGATAACACACAGGCACCACCCATCCGGTTCAGATCAACGTCTATCTTAGGCATCATTCGTTGACTCTGGGCTCGAAGGAATTCTGAAAATGACAATCGTTTATCGCACAAGCGAGCTGGTCTACTTTCAACGTCTTGGAAACCCGAGACCAGGGACAAAAAATAATGTCTTCTATACAAATGAAACAGATCGCTCCTTAAATACTGCATTTCATGCATCATAGAACTTCGCAAGGTCGCTGAATAACTTTCTCTCTCTCTCTCTCTTTCTGTTGACGCCGAATATAGAAAATGTTAAAATACCTTACTTGCAAGAATTTTACCTGCGATTTTGGAAGTGGTCTCATTGATTTGTGTAAGACGTATTACTAGTTTCTGGAGAAAAAAACAACAACAACAAAAAAACAATGTGTGCTTACCGGCATAAATTATCATATTTATGTTCGACTGCCGAACTGGTTCACGGTACTTGCACCTTTGATAGTAGCGAAATGTATTATTACGAGATTACTCACCTCGGCTGTTTACCTTGATATGCGGTTTTCTAATGGCTTGCTGTGCTTCCAAACAAGATGGCATCGATTTCACAGTGCATTCAAAATACTCAAAATTACTTCCTAGGCACCAGAACTGAGAACGCTAGCAGACGTTTTGCAGACACCCTACCACATTCGCGTTTTGATCGAGCAATATGCTAGCAAACAAAAATGACTCCGCTAAAAAAAAATAATAAAAAAAGTAATTCATTTGAAAGCTCTGAAAACACCTGGATAGGATGCAAGAGCTCGATTTATTTTGCGCATTCTAGGGTACTGTGCACAAGAAAAGGGCACAACTGATATGTGCGGGGTGTTTTCTTTTAATTCGAACAAATTTATTTCAAGAAATTCATGAGAGGTACAATGATGCCGTTTGTGCAGGTGAGTTATGCGGCCAAGGGGTCATAATATAAAAGGTTATGCCTCACGTTATGGCGGACAATTAACTGAAATGTGTTAGCATTTTAATTAGTAAAAATAAACTTGCGGTTTCAGTTGGGAGCTCGATGAGCTTCTTTGAAGACCACTAAATCAGTCAATTTGATATGAACTCGAAACGCATGGGAAGCGCCGGGGTGCTCGAAAGCTACGACTCGTGCAACAGGCACAAGGCTGTGAAAAGGCAAATGAGAATCGAAGCATTCGTGTTCTACTACCGCTCGCCTTGTGCCTAGAGCAAAAGCGTCAATTTTAGCCCAGTCCGACACGCGCGTCTTGTCCATCTAAAACGAATTGATTTTGTAGTCTTTGTACCGCTCAGCAAGTTTCTAATTGGAACCATATGTTAATTTTCACTAATTAAATAGTTCACTAAAAAGATTTAGTTTATAATCCAACGTAACGTGAGTAATAACCCCCTACATTCCTATGTCCCCGCTGGCCGTGTAACTCAACATCACAAACATCAGTTTCATATGTTTGAATTAAAATCAAACTCCCCGCATAAAAAAGGTCTTCACTGCCAACTCAGTGGTGGGCGTAAAGAAAGCATCAGTGAACCTCATGGCTGAATGAAACATTTCACATAAAGGCGAAACGAGGCGAAAGCTCGAAATGCCATGGAAGTCCGGAAGGGGACACGCGCTACCTGTCCTGCCACTTCCAAGACTCATCCGAGTCGCGAAGGAGGCAGGAGTGGTAGTGAAGCACCCCTACCGGACGCTAACCTGCGCTTTCGCCGCTGCTTGAAGAAGGCCTGCGCATGAGCAGAACTTTCATTGAAGAGATTCATTCTGAAGTTGAGAATGAACGAAGTTGCTGGAGTAATGGGGTGAATCGAGAAAGTGAAGAAAAAGAAACCCGATTTTATTTCAGAGTATATGTAGATGATTGCAATAGCTGGAACGGTGGGTAATGATTCATGGGTGAGGAACAAAAAAAAAAGATAAAAAGGAACATACAACAAAAGAAAGGTTGTGTTCAAGCGTTTAGGACCTGGTCAAGTTCCCTCTTTATCATCTTGAGGAAGACGGGCTCCACCTCCTGGATGTTGAAGCCGCTGTCCACAAAAATGGCTCCGGCCACCGACTTGAAGATCTTGTACACGAAGCTGCGCTTCTTCTTGGCGAATTTCAGGTCTGCGAGAGTCTGCAAACACCAACACAACGGTTCCTAATGCGAGACACTTCTTCCAATAGACAAAATCCAGTACCATCTGGTGGCCCAAAAACCAGCTCCCCTTTTGAAAAACTAATGGCCGCCATAAAACTGTATGTTCATCGGGCACCGCCACTTTTGCGCGAAAACGGCAAATAGGAAATGGTTCTTCGATGACCTCATAATTCTTTCCGGATTTATTTAATTTTCGATGGTCATGAAATAAGAACTGATCAGCCAAAGGCGGCGACCCATAACGCTTCTATTCAATTTCCGCCGTCAAGCGGCATTAGAGCCAAACTTGTGCCACAATGAAATACTGAAACAATCTGGTGGCAATTGATCTTTGAAGCACCTCGAGACTGAGTAGAGCACTAGGCACAAAGAGCGGATTTCGAAATAGCTCTTGCATCTAATTCGTACGTCGTGTTATGCTGACGTCTTGGACGCAGTATATATCTTTTGCTTGTTAGTATTTTCAACTTGTTCCTGCAGGAGCCTCAGTGAGGCCGCCCTTAGCTTGGCACAGATCCCATGCACTGACACGATTATAGGAAGCAAAGTTGCCGGGCAGCGCTTTGCCCAGCTTGTTTTCCGCAGAGCTGCGTGTTTACCCAACACAAAATCTGTGGACTGGGGCGTCGTCTTCCTCGATCCAGCGCGTGGCAGAAACTGAACACGGTGCTGCCTCGGCGTTCAGCTGGGACCCGTTCGCGAGCAACCGAACACTGACGCAGCGTTCGGCTATGGCAGTCGAGCGCTGCGTCAGAAACGAAAACAAATCATTTGTACGGATATTGTCCTAGTAGCTTAAGTTCTCAAGTTCGACGCTACATTTCAGATAGCTTCTAACTGCTCGATCGGGTGACGTGGTTTGTGGGCCGGGTTTGCAATGCGAGTTGCGAGGATAGCTGACGAAAGCGTTAACCGTTTGCGAGCGTCTCAGCCTTTCCACTTGATGTCCTCCAACCAAGCGCATGCGCATTGGCGATCAATCTGCTCAGGAGGCGTCCGCCACTGACTTGCAAACGCTCGCCGTGCATGTTCTTGAATCTAGGCTGTGCCCAATAAGCTCCCGAGGAAGGCAGTGAAGGGGTCCGCTTACATGAACGTTCCTCAGGCCCTCGGCGAAGTCCCGCAGCGAGCTCTTTTCGATGGGTCTGTCCAGGAAGACGTACTTGTGGAAGTTGTTCTTGACCGCGAAGTAGGCCAGGGAGTCCTGCCGCAGGACGGCCACCTTGGCGTGGGACATGGCGTGCTGAGTCTTGTTGGGCGAGTTCATCAGGATGTACCTGCGCACGCGCGTACGCCCTACCTCAAGCATACAACAGACGCGACGACATGCCTTGAACATCTTTGTTTGGGTTCGTATGCTTCCAGCATATCTGTGCAGAGAGTTTTTGTATGTGCCATACAAGGAAGGAACTCAAACTGTCTTCTGGCTAATGAGTGCGGCTTGAGAGCCGCTCTTCCATATAGTGATTGTGCGCGCGATGAAAAACACAGAATTGTTTGACGCCAACATGAGCCCCCCCCCCCCCCCCCCCCCCCAATAACCCTTTTCTTCGAAAACTACGCATTAGAAAGAAAGAAAAATCGATGCCGCCTTGGCCACGGTCAAAGAAACTATTAGTAGAAGGATGATTCAGTGTGAATGACTCAAGAATAACCAAATCTTTGTTTATTAAACATAAATGCATGGTTTCAGTTAGGAAATCGCTAGGCGTAATGGCAGATTCCTTGAAAGATAACTCAAAATGGGTTAAGGAGTTGCTGCCCTTTACTAAAAGGTACTTGGAGGTTTTCGTTTAAAGGGGTCATGGAACAAAGTTTCTATTTTCCAAAAATACTACTTAGAACCACTTCCAAACGTTAATAACTGAATAAACTTGCCGTAGTTTTTCTTTCTAGGCAATGGCAGTAACAAAAAATAAAATCGAAAAATATGAACATCGTTCATCCTCTGAACTGGGAGCCAGAACAAGCAGCCACGTGGCCTGGTGCCTATCCTGTGCCGCCAACGTTAATTATGGCTACGCGCTGAGCTTGACAAAGTAGAAAACGCGTGCTGAGCTCCAGGCATTGTTAGTGTTCGGCTACTCATCACCGCAGTAGCTGGACACGAGCCACTACCCGAGTTTCGGCCGAGCCATTGATTGCTACGAACCGAAGTCGAATTCTTACGCAGTTCTCGTGTCCACTTCATGAGCCACGCTCGACCATCGTCAGGCGGGTGGTTTCATTCACGCAATTACGTCATCCAGCTTTGCGAAAACAAGAGTGAAAGAAATAGTCCCCCTTTATCCTCTCCATTTCACCGTGACAAAGAAGCTTCTCGATTAGTGGCGGTCTGTGCGAGTATACTTGGGCTAGACTAGGACCAGGACGCCTCTGCAAAGTCATGAGCATTCCAACACCATATTGTTTCGTGACCCCTTTAAAATTGGCTGTAATAAGCTGGAAAACAGGGACACGAGGAGCACTTGAAAACATTGGCGCCCAAAACACAAAGCTCATTAAGAGGACACGCAACAGGACAGACGATGTTCACATTTGCTGTTTTTGACCAAACGCAGAGCATAGAGAACCGGACCCCTCGGCGTTGCTAGAGCACCCGCACAGCCTGAACGAACTTTGAACCGTTTGCCTCGCACGTCTTCGCGGGGGCTACCTGTCAGTTACAAATCGAAACTGAATGAAGTTTCTGTTTTTCACCGCAAATTCGAAACAGCGGAAACGACAAGGTTGGCCGCAAAGATCGCTGATAGTTTCAGAAAAGCGACAGTAATAAAATCGGCAGAAACCTTTACCTTCATAGTTTTTCAATGTATGAAATGCATTATGGGGAATAGGTGTGTCGGGTGACGTATATTTTCCCACTAAAGTTAGCGGAAAAACTGAATGGTTGTATAGGTCACGGGACGTCGATTTCTTCTGCTAAATTTAGCGGAGAAACTGTAAAGATGTGTAGGTCACAAGACGTGACTTTTCCCGCTACACTCGGTGGGTAACTGGATTAGTGTATAGATCACGTGACGTCAATTTCCTCCTTAAATTTGGCGGGGAAACTGAATTGTTCTGTATGTCCCGTGACGGTCAGATAACGTGACATTAATTTTCCCTCCAAATGTAGCTGAGAAACTGAATGCATGTATAGGGCTCGTGATATCAATTTCTGCGCAAAATTTAGCGGGAAATGCACGGACGGAGGACGGACGGACAAAACTTTGGGATTAGAGGAGCGTGAAAAAGCATCACAAACTTACCCAGCCCTAAAGCTGGAAAGTAATACGTGCTTCAAAGTAAAATCAATATTGCTATACTCGTTTTCACCTCAATAAACAAGGAAGGTTTGCGCATTGTTCATACGCCGCACGAAGTGGCCCTCGCAAGATGTGGTCGTCGAAGAAAGAAGCGATGCTTTTGGCGTTTGAAACGGGCAAGTCTTGGGAAGATGACACATATCTAACCCAAACAACACCTGCATATATCTTAATTCTCCAGATAAAGGTGGAAAGTAGTAATGCTTCGCGACACGCCGTACCTTATTTACTATGGCTCTTGAGGTGAAAACCAGTATAGCTGGCACTAGCTTCTGCTGACGGGACTGCAGACGAAAAACGAGCACGGTGACTTTCCTTTGGCGACGCTCACGAAGCCCGGCAGGAGCACACCAATCAACGACGCCAATACTTATTCCATTCAGGCCAATCCCCTCGACTTCCCCTCCCCCTCTCGCCGCACCCTGACTCGTCACCTGACCTCCCTCTACAGCAAGCCAGACCAGGAGCACTCCTCGCTCCCACCCTTTTCGAGAAGATGTACCCGAGAATTCCTCTGGACCCAGAGTGCACCCTCTGCCACGCACCCGCTGCGGTCTCGCATCTTTTGTGGGACTGCCCCCTTCCCTCCCTCAACCCTCTCTCATCCCCCTTCGACTCTCACTGAGTGGCTCAACCCGCCATCCCCTCCCGACCATGGCCGGTTCCTCGCAGCATCACAGGCTCTCCTTGCGTATCTGGAAGACCCCGAGGCACCTCCACTTGGCTCCAGACTACTGAAGCCCCACGGGTCCCTGCTCGCTGTTGCTCGTCATCTCGTTCTTCCTGGAAGCTCCCAAGACGGCTAAAAGAATTTGTTTTTTTCCTTTTTATGACCAAACAGCAGGGCGCATGTGGTGCCCACTTCTTTGGTCGTTAAATTAATACGTTTCAAAGCAAAGCAAAGCGTCCTGCTCTATTAAGGCAGTTTGCAACAGAGCAAAAACGCTGCGGTGACGAACCCCGAAGAGCGTATGTACCGCTAAAGAGTGGCATTTTAGAGCCCGTTGCAGAGGGCGCCCTTGCGGTTCACCATGAATGGCGGCGCCCACGAGCCACTTCAAAGTAAACAAATGTCACGTGACATGGACAGACAAATGACCGTCCTGGTGGCGTCGTTTAATGAAGGAGAAATATTGCCTATACCCTGAGCGTATCTTTCTAAGGACTCTAACCATTCTTACCCAGCGAGATCAAGGTCAGTTGACAAGCTTCTCAGAACGCCTGGCGCCTTTTGCTGGCGCTCCTGCTCGGCGGCACTCGCTAGCTTTCAGCCCAACTTATGGGCAGAAGCGGCGGAACCGGTGGAACCTTAGATACACATTGACTGCTGTAGAAAGTGATTTTAGAGTGGTTTCTATGGCAAACATGAACTTTTTCCAAGAAAAGCGTCGTTCGAAAACGGTATTTTTGCGTTGCACGTGAGGGCTTTGCCGTTGGTGGCGCTATACTCCGTTCACCCTTAAGCTGAGATTAGAAGCTCTGCCTTGAGCGCGAGCTTTCTCCCTTGCTAATACAAGTGTGAACACGCAAGCACGCGCAACCACAGCACTGCTGAAGCCAGCGAGCCCGCGCTGAAGGCGGAGCTTCTAGTCTCAGCTTAAGGGCGAACAGAGTATAGACACTTTCTGTGTCCTGTCGTTCTCAGTCACGTGGGTTCCGTAACTGGTATGCGAGACGAAAAAATAATAAAACCTTTCAACCTGGGCTATGCGAGAAGATATAGGTAAGGCAAAACAATATAATTGGGGTTGTATGTATATTTAGACAGCGTAAGAGGCAAAACAAGGATGTGTGACAATCACGATTTTTTTTTAAATACCTTCCAGCGGCGTGGACAGATTAAAACGCCGTTTCACCGCATACCAGAAGTGAAAACATTCAAGATGGCTACGCCCTTGTGGAAGAGGTGTATAGGAACGCATTCGCGTGCGAGCAACAAAGAAGGTCCGTTTTTGAACGACGCTTTTTCGTCGAACTTATGAACGGATCGATCTAAGACCGCTGGCCCTAGCGGCCGTACCTGGAGACTACGTAGTCTAGCACGAAGCCCCCGACGTAGTCTAGCGGCTCGAAGTTGTCGGCGGCGCCCTTGCGGTCTCTGGCCTTGTAGGACGGGTGGAGGAGCGCCTTGAGCAGGATGTTGGGGTTCTTGAACGTGTAGCCGGCCAGGTTGTCCCGCACAAAGTCCTCCGGGAAGCGCAGGTTCAGCGAGCTTTTCAGGTTCTGCGCCACCTGCAGGTGCTCCTGGCCCACCACCACCGGAGGGGGCACTGCGCCGTTCGTGGCCACTGCGTTGCAAGAACCGCAAATAAATGTTATCCTCGAAACAGAACCACAACTGACAGCTACTCGCAGTTTTCGTACCCCTCGAGGAGCCATCGTCCTTACTGATCACCTTCTAACTCTGACCCCTCTTCGTATCTCCAATCCCGCAAGACGACGAGTATCAACACTTCGTAACATAATCTTGAAAGCTGCATACGTGTCTTCGTACATGCAAGAACAGCGCCTCCACACTGTCTTTTGTATGATGCGAGTGTTGAACAGCGGGGATTGGGCCCGACTGTTTCGTCAGCGTTCTGCGGGTACTCTCACTGATCCGAGCCTTAGCCAAATGCAGACGCGGCGGCACTCGTGTTTAATCTACGGTCCGCCTTTTTTAGGTGACGCCGAAGGTTCAGCAAGACGGCTTTGACAGCGTACTAAATGTACGCCTCGCATGGCCAATCATTGAACTATGCCTCTTTAATATCCTCTTCTGTATTTCTTTTTTGGTACATTAAGGACGCACACACGACACGATCAAATATATCGTTTTTATAGGGTCTCACAAGCGGATCATCTGTTGCACAACAAGTTGAAACAATCGGCGCCAGTTCAGAAAACTTAGACTTTCATAGAAAGTGCACTCAGTACGTCATTTTTACCGTGTAAAATGTCAAAGCGTGCATCTCTTTTTATAAAAGAATAAAAAAAAATCATGAGCCATTCCACTCTGAAGGTAGATGACGAGCGAAGCACACGACGCAGACGTGACACAGAATTTTGAACAAAGGTACGAACAGTCTTGTACACGTTACTAAAAAAAAGTAATCGATTACAATTACTATTACTCTTGGCTAAAAAGTATTCGATTAGATTACTTGATTACTTGACAGCAAAAGTAATTGGACATTACTTAAAGAAGTAATCGTTACTTTTCCGATTACTTTATTGTGTGAAGACACATCTTTAGCGCTCATAACAATGAACTACTTCCAACCTATATTTTACATTTGCACAAGTATTGAAGAAGAAAAACTGGCTCCCTCTTCGTGGTCGTTGCACCTTCACAATGCGGACACAAGCATAGAATTCGGTTGAAGACGTTTAAGGATTTGTGCGTTCGCCATTGTGTGTGTGTGTGGGGGGGGGGGGGGGGGGGGGGAAAGCGGTGGGGGTTCTAGATCTTGTTAAGCTTGAGCAAGGGTTGTCAATCAAAGTTTGCGTCGCTCATTTTACTATCCACATGTGGATGAGCTCGCATGTTATACAAAAGAGCAGCAGCTCCAGGATTTGAAACGGATCATGTGCAGTATCCATTAGCGGAAGAGATCGTTCCGACCACTTCTCAACTCGAAACATTGCTTGTCACAAAGACCACGTAGGGGAAATGGGGAAATATTTCAACTGCATTTGTTATATTTTGCATCCGATTTAGGCATTCTTCGGTTCTGGTTCTCCTACGGGCTGCGAGTAGGTACCCTAAGCAGGATTCCTTTTTATTTTACTTATTTCTGTGTGTGTGTGTGTGCGTGAGGGGGCTAGTTTGAACGAAGGACTCACAAAGCTACATTCTGCTTCCTCAAACTTCGCCCTGAATGGCCTTTGTCACGCACTATGGCTTCCCTGGGGCTTCCCACTCCCAGTCCCAGCTCGAAAAAAAAACAAAAAAACGGACATTCCACAGAAACTATACATACAAAGTGATTGACCTCGTTTCCTACAGCTCCGCAAAAATCTTTCTTTTTTTCCGTTCGAAAAAAAAAAAGCTAATTTTATTGTGCGGGGGGGGGGGGGGGGGGGGGGGTTCCGTGGACAAATTGTAACGGTTACAAGTAATTTTATTACTTCAAAAAGTAATCAGATTACTCCTGTGATTACTGCCTAATAAAAGTAATCAACTGATTACAAAATTACTCCAAAAGTAATCGATTACAAGTAATTTGATTACTTGTAATGCGTACGGTACAAGTCTGGGTACGAACACCTTTACTGTCTTTGTGGGTAGTCATCGCGACGAAAGGTGCGCACACATATTTGTTGCTGTCTTGATCGGTGGTCATTATTTCGCGTGGACGACTACCGCCGCCCCGAGGAGCCGGAGAAGACTGGAGACACGCACAGAGGGACCGCCACCCCGGGAGAGCGGAAGGAAAGGAAACTAGCCACGCATGGAACGACGACGAAGTGGGGTGCCTACATGTCTGTCTGTCTCAGGGTGAAGACAACCATTCTTGCCCTGAATGTGCTAGCGTGTGACGCTCTCGCGCACTCGGTGCGTGACTTGGGTGGTAAAATGGCGTCTATGCATTAGCCAAAGCTACGCGCTCGAGCTGAGTGACACCGGATTGCGCGCGCTTCAAAATGCATAAAAAAACGATTGGGCCGAAAAATGGCTGAGATGTCACCACTCTAGCAAAAGCGCGCGTGTGAAGAAAGGCAGTCTACGACAAAGTGGCGGCGGTGCGAGCGCAGACATGGCCGACGCTAGTCGCACGGCGGCAAATCTTTGAGAAACCTTTATTATCTACGTGAGAGCCTACTGATCTTCAAAATGGTGCCTATTGGTAACTAATCGACTGAATAGACCTACTGCTGAATTACCCAAGCATCAAGGAGAATGCAGGGAATGGTGTTTCACGCGCCGCACTTGCGGGCGTCTGCAGCAGTAACTATTCTAAAACAAACACCTAAAACAAATGGCATCTTGCGCGCGTGTTCGTCAACACTTCATTTTGTCATTTACTTGGAATATTTTATACGGGGAAGGCGTGCGCGTGTGGAGGTGCGGGCGTAGAGTTTCTGTTCACGCACATAAAAACGTCCACGGAACCCTAGCCAAAAACAGCTTCGCTGTAAAACACGGCGAGAGAAGTGGCAGTACGAACCAAAAACATCCGTGAAAACGAAGATGACATGAGGGCACAAGGTTGCTTGACAAACAGCCAACCCGCGGAATACCCACTAATAACCTGGGAATAGCATTTTTAATATCGATTTTAGAGTGGATCGCGGTTTCCCATTAGTGTAATATGTTGGCATCGCTCGTGCTTAGTCTCCGTAAAGCGATATCAGTAATTTACTTTGGTTCGACTTTTGACAGGAGTTACCTTAAAGTCGTTCATGTAAGCTTCGACTGCCTTCTCGATAATAATCGTAAATAATGATAATAATTTATTTTCCTGGTGGTTTATAAATGAACCGATTTCTCCGAGCGGTGGGTGCATGTCTCATGCCACCCGAACTTTCGTCGAGGCAGGTGGCGTCACACCAGACGGCTCGTGCACCACGCGCGTAAAACTCCAGCGAGGCACGCCCAGAAAGACTTCCCTCCATCACCGAATAACCGCGAACAAACGGGGACAATAAACACGGACGACAGGACAGGCGCTTCTGTCCTGAAGCCCTGTCCTGTCGCCGGTGTTTCTTTATTGTCCCCGTTTGTTCGCGCTTTTTAACCTTTTATTCAGTCATGGACCAACTAGCCCAAACCCAAGTTTTAAGGTTCCCTCCATGCATTCCGGCTGCGGTGGCGTACACAAACTGGCTGGTGCGAAGAATTGTGAAAAAACTCCACTTACCAGGTGGAGTGAAGGGAGCAGCGTTGTGTCGCGGATTCTGTAAGAAAACAGTAGAGAGAAAAGATAGTCACGTGGACGTTAATGACAGGGCTGAGACCTCGCGCAAGCCCAGTAAGTCTATCTGCATTAACGCCGAGGCAACATGCTTGGTGGGCAACAGCGGAGCTAAAACACATAGTACCAACGTGTGCTTTCCTACTCGGCAAAGGACGAAAACCACGGCGCCTGCGAACCAATCAGAGCGCGGGAGAACGTGCCACTAGCGTAGCGTAGGCGACGGCGTACCGTATACACAAGCACGTGTCCTCCCCTCGCTGGATTAGGATTAGGCAGTAAAGGGGCCCCGTCGTTGGAGAGCGACAAACAACGAATATACCCATGTATCAAATTTTCCTTACACTTAAAACCTCCCCCCAAAAGGGAACTTTAAGGGCCTGAATAGGACAGACATTGGCCCGTTGACACTCTCGCGTCTGCTTACGACCGAGTTCTTGCGACCTTTTACGACGAGAAAACACGCTGGCGCCATCTATGAAGCGACCCTTTAGCTACACTTTGCTAAAGCGTAGGCTTTGAGCTATTTGCGAAATCAAATGTACATAGGTACTATCTACGAGGAACAATTGTTTTTAAGCTCGGCAAAAGTATTTTATGCAAACGAAGAAAAAAATACTGATGCGCGAAAAATTAGAAAATATACGAAAACGCCGAATGTTCCCCGTTAGATGGCGCGATTGTGTTCTGTCGTCGTAAGAGAACAGATTTTGAGGTACTCGGACATAAAATGCACAGCGAAATTTCTTGATATCTAGAAAAACTTTTGGTACTTTTCGAGTTTTAACGTGGCTTTCGGAAACGCTGCTCAACTGAATCAGCACAGTGCTAACGCAAAAGGAAGAAATTGTATCTTTCGAGGATAAAGAGCTTAGCTGTGTACGTTGATTCTTCTAAAACTTTCATCCTAAATACTCATAATATTCAATTAGGAAAGCTAGACCACTACTGAATTCGTAGATCCTCACTGAAACATTTTGATTCGTATCTGCAATATTGGACGCAGTGAGGTAGCATAAATAATTGAAAGTCATCAACTAGTAGTATAGTGAAAGGAGTCCCCCGAGGAAGCGTTCTTGGACCACTCTTATTTATATCATGTGCACCAGAGGTTAAGTTTGTTTCTTATAAAGGTGATGCCCCTATTTTTTTTTTATAGGTCAAACATCTTCTGAGATACAAAGTAAGGTGGCGGCAGTTCTCGCAGACTTTCATTTATGGACAAAATTTAAGGATTAAAAATATTCATAAATGAGACGAAGTGCGTGCTGTTTAGGCCACGAAATTATAAAGTAACGTCGCCTTTGAATATTGTGTTGAATTATTCTTGAGAGATTATTAAATTTGTGGAATTTCTAGCTGCTATTTTTGCGGATTTTTTTTTTTTGAATGTTCACGTAGAGTATGTTGGATTCCAGCCAACATATTGTCTTGATTGAGTTTTTTATATATATATATTGAACCCAGTACGAAGGTATATTGTTTAAATTTTCATATATTAATTTGAATATTTGTCCGCTGCTTTCTGCCATAAGCGGCAGGGCCCCGTCAAGTAGCAAATGTAGAGCTTTTTGCCTCGTCTCCTCTTTTGTTTGCGAAGCAAAGTAAATAAAGATCATTACTATTATTGTTATGGTTGAAGCAGTCGGAAGTGTGTAAACCGTCCTTATACCACACATTAAACACCTTCCCTATAAAAAAAAAAAGGAAAAGAAAATAAAGAAACGCTTTAGCGCAACATTTGTACTTCGAGACTTATTTTGAATTATAAATAATTGTGAAAAGTGCTGCTATTTCGAAATGTCGGCCTCAAAATAGAAACTTGTTTTGAAATCGCTCAAAATATGCGTCAAAACATAAATTGTCCGCTATTTTATTGATTGTTTTTCGGAAAGGAAAGTTTATTTTGTTACATACGTGTCAACTTTAGACACGTGAGACGATTCTTTTTTAGTGCAGTGCTTTTTTAAGCGTTGCGAACTGGCCGCAATAAAACAGGTTCTTACATAAACGGCACCACGTCAAATCGACCGACTAGCCGAAAAGTCGCCCTCGTTTCGTCGTTCAACGTAGATGGATGGCTGTCTCGTTCGTGGGACAACGCCACGATAATTAAGACAGCTTTCTTCCCCTAGCTTCAGGGACGCTGCAGGAAAACCAGTTTGTCTGTAAGAGTTCCGCGCCGTAAGTAAACGCTTCTTGGAGCTGGTGAATTTGGTAAGTGAACCCCTGGCGCCCTAGTAATTTCCCGCTGAAGGAAATCCTCTCCTAGCGAATATTCTACTCGATAGCTGTCACTGTCCATGGCATGGCGCATTGTTCTCCCGGTCTATTTTCGTCTGCTAGTGTTTCACTCTCGCCGTTTGGTAACGCAGTACGCAACTGTACTCTGTCGCAGTTCACTTTAGCGGTGTGAACGGTGGAGGGGGTTGAGCGTCTCGTCTGCGGCCTTCGCTCAGCTAAACTGGAGAGAGTAGAGGGCAGTGCCTTCCTTAACCTGCAACAAGGTATGTTCGTTAAAGTTGTACGCGTGGGACTTTTGGTTTGTTTTGTTTTGTATGACAGGAAGTTTTCGTTGACCGTTTTCCCACGTCGGCACTGGGCTCTCCGAAACGAAGACGCCAAAACTGCGCATGCGCGGTGCTAGCCGTGCCTGCAGAGCCCCAGATGTCGTAGCGGGTTCCGAAGACCGTTGCGGGACAGCGGAAACGATCTACGAAAACTTCCTCTCGTTGTTAGAGGGTGAATGGAGGTACTTTTTATTATTTAGTTTTAAAGAATGAAATGCCTTTTTAACGCTACCCCCCGATCCAAATCTTTTTTTTCCGTCCGTCTGTGTATTTTCCGCTAAATTTAGCGGGGAAAGTAGCGTCATGTGACCTATACACCTTGGGAAAATGGACTGCACGTCATGGTATACTTGAACTACGTTTTCCCGCTCCATTTTGCGGGAACCGTGGCCAAAACATCAATTCAGTTTCCCCGTTAAATTTAGCGGGAAGTTGACGTCATGCGATCTATACACCAATTCAGTTACCCGCTGAATTGAGCGGGAAAATTAAGGTCTTCTGACCCAGACATCTATTCAGTTTTCCCGCTAAATTTAGCGGAAGAAATAGACGTCATGTGGCCTGATGTCACGTGACCTACAAAACCATTTAGTTTTTCCGCTAAATTTAGCGGGAAAATGTACGTAACGTGACACACCAATTCCCTATAAACTATAATGCATTTCATGCAGTACAGGACGTTGAAAATAAACATCGCTGCCAATTTTTTACTATTCGCTTATCCGGCATACCTTCCCTTCCGTCAAAAGTTTGCTCTCGTGTCCTACAATGGATGTCCCTCTGACAAGTTCGAGACGGGCCTCGGAGCAGGTCAAGGTGAGCAGTTTTTTTGTCTAGGTGCTGCGGATTCGAGGCCACAAATAATATGATCAGTTGACGGATGGACTGATTGGGTAAGCTAAAATCTTAGATTGGAACTCACTAAGCGGGCCTTTTTGTTTATTTTTATATTAATAGGAATAAAAACCACTTCAACCTCGCTCATTTTGCACGTTCCATATCACGACTCTAAGTAAGTGAACTGCCCCGTGTCAGAGGTGGCGGTAATGTAGAGTAAAATCAGAATAATTATTTGCTTTCCTATTATTTAAGTCGTGTAATTCTATACTCAATAAAACGAGAAATTTACTAATGGATATAATATTACATCACTCGTTAAACGAGGGGATTCGATCTTTTTTAAGTCCTGGTAACCGTCGGATGATCGAGTGAACAGTACGGCTATCTGCACAAAGAGCTGCTCCGTGATTGGTCCGTTTGCCCTGTTCTTGACTGATGCCGCGATCCTATTGGCTGCAGAGAAGATGGCGAGGACTCGCATCGCCCCGAGTTTCTCCCAGTGACCAAAACCATTGGGGTAGCAAAAGGTCTGACTCGAAGCCACCCCTGGAGGATAAGCTCGAGAATCACGCGTCAAGATCGGCACGGTACGACAGCAAAGTCTCACTGCTCGTACAAAAGGCACGGCTGCAGACATGAATTATCCGAGGACATGCCCCGAGCCTGTTTGAAGCACTTTGGATTCTTACATGCAGACAGTGTTGTTTTTATGATCACCGTCATACAAGAAAAAACCGCGCATAAGACTGTCTTTTGGACTAGGCACGCGGCTTAAGGAATCGAGAAAAATGCGGATCAACAGAACCTGTATTAGGAGGGAGAAAGAAACGGAGGCGTCGAATCGTCTGAATGCCAAGAAAATGTTATCTTTCGCAACGTCATTAGGTTAACCACGTTGAATCAATTAACCTTGGTTGCTTTACGCTGCGTGAAGTTTGAAGTGATGTCCTTTCTTTATTAGTAGTACACTCTTAATTTCCTTACTTTTGGGTCGCAGATTTTTGTATTACAATTTATTATTTTTGAGCATTTCCGAAGACTTAATTAGCGATGTAAATTATTAGAACGTAAAAAATATTTCGGTTATATTTCTGCATTGTACCTGGACGACATCGAACCACAAATTGTCTAAAATCTTTGAGTTGTGGCGTAGGGTTCTATCGTGTGACATGAGAAATACAGGTGTTTTTTTTTATATAACTGAATTTCGATTTGCTCATAAGGCTACAATTGAGTTCCTAGTTTTTATACTTTCGTACAGTACTCCCCCGAAGGTTATGGTTAATTAACCGCTATATATTATCGTAGGAGATGCTGTTTCACCTGCTTCTTGCGCAGGGGTTACCCGACGCCGGCCTCCGATTGGCTCTGATCGAAGGATAGTGGTCAGACTTTAAAGCAAGCTGCCTTGACGTCTACTCCCTATCCTTCATTCAGGGCCAATCAGAGCTCGCCGTTCTGTTGACGTCACCAGAACCCTTGCAAAAGAAGCAGACGAAGTTGCGCTCTGCATTGGTTTCAGTCATCTACAGATAGCGAGTAGTGAGGAATTAACAGAAACCGCGCAAGAAACAAAACAACACGTATATATCACGTCGAATCGTGAGAACTTTAATAAAAAAATACGAATATCATCGAAGCTAGGAAGGCTGCTTAATATGAATAAATGACAGTGGCAAAACAGTCGTAGGTCATCCGACAATTACATCGAATGGATAAAAGATGGGATCACACAATTACCTAGATAGTCTGAAGCTTATGGCATCGAGCAACAAAAAAACTGCGTTGGGTAAAGTACATCTAAGAAGTACTTCGAGTAACGCACAAAGGAAGTCAGAGGTTATGTGGTTTAAATATAGTAAATACACCGGGTGCAATGTACTTGGAGCAAGGTAATATAAATACAACGTACTTTCAAAGCAAAGTATTATAAATACAACGTACTTTCAAAGCAAAGTACTATAAATACTAAGTACTTTTAAAGGAAGGTACAAAATCTTTCTAACACAATCTTTCATGATGCCCATTCATTCCCCATACTGTGTGTTTTTTTTTAAATATTTTTAAACTGGTATGCATTGACCCAGGGTTAATCGGAGGTGCATCAGTTATTTTCGGAAATGGCGGCGAATACTGGATAAAGGGGCTTCAGAGCTGAAAAAGGATGATTTTGTGATACAAATTTAACGAGATCAAACTTGGGGAATGTACTTTGAAGTAGGAAGTTGTACTTTCCTCAGAAAGTAGAAGAAAAAATTACTCGAAGCAAAGTACAAGCACATACTCAGAGAATGTACTTCGAGTAAAGTACAAGTCTTCTAAACCTTCTTAAAATAGTATTCTAGGTACAACGTACTTACAGCACTTCCCAACTGTGAAAAAAACGAACACACTTCCACGAAAATTGATCAAGTTGGATACAAGGGGCCCTGTCAAAAGAGCGCGCCATCTAGCGACTGCTGCGCCATGCATCCGAGTCTGCCATTGCTTGGTCACGCACTCTGAACATGTATCGGTCACGAGTGCTGCGTCACCGTTCGGCGAGGACTCGGGGTCCAATCACACGCTTCGTGCCCAAGAAATAGCGGCTGCCAATGTTGCTTGACGAGGCTTTGAAAAATGTCCGTTATGACGAAAAAGGTGAATAAACACTGCAACAAAGTATCCACGTTACAAAGAGCCTGAGCGGAGCGTAAAAATGTTCTGTTCACTCGGGACTAGGCCACGAAGATTCAAGTCGAGGTCAGAAAGTCAATGACCCCTAAAACTACGCTCGCGTTATTTTTATTTTCTTCGCTCAACAGTATAAAGGACAGTATTTTTTTTTTAAATTTTCTTACTTGTTGTTGTCCGCAGGCCGAAGAGACGAATGCCAGGAGCAGCGCCTGTGAGAGGGTCAGCGACGACGTCAATTTGCAGCGACACAAAAAACAGAAACGAGCACAAGCCGCCAGAAACAAAAAAACAAACAAAAAGCGAACGCATAGACGAAAAAGCGAGCACATAAACAAGTAAAAGGCAATCCTCTTTAATAGACCCTCCATAATGGTAGCCTTTCAAGGTCGGCGGCAAACGCGACCACCTCAATTAACTCCGTGTCGGACAACAGCGGCACACGCACACACAAAAGTACGAGAGAGATTCACCGCGACATGCCGCGCACCGAAATAAAGGAGAAAAGACCGAAAAGAAACCGCTTTAAAAAAGTTCACTGGGCCTCCGAATTTTTATCAAAACGTTCTACCATTCTCTTCAATCAAATATCTTCATAGGATGCTGCGGGTCATCTCCGTATTGATGGCTCGAGTTTGAAGGCAATTAACCCATACCAAAACGACATGGTGTCGAGGGCAGTCGTGAGGTATTTCTAGGGAAGGGTTCATCCGTGGTTCCGGTTTTTCAATTTCTGCCACTATTTTCGCCTAGTCTAAATTTAATTTAAATGTTCGCGTACAAAAGCAAATATCCAGGGTATCTAATGATATCGCAAAATATCTAACAAGATAGCAAGATTTAATTTTTGTAATAAAGTATGTATCATTTAAGGCCCGTTCACACTCTTGCGACTGCTTGCGACCTCTTAAACCTGGGTTCCTTAAAACTTCTTAAACCAGAGAACACACTGGCGCCATCTATTGGGAAGCAGTGTAAACTCAGCGGTCCGGCATATTTTTTTTTATTTCTCGCGCAATATCCTTTCTTTTTTGACTCGAAAAACTTTTGTCAATGTTATAAACGAGCCTTTCTATGGGTATTACGCACATTTGACCTCGGAAATCCCGCAAAACCTTCGCTTTTGTGAAATGCAGTTCTAGGGTCACCGCATAGATGGCGCCACAATGTCAGTGTGTTCCCTTATTCTAGAAACATTTAAGAAGTTGTAAGAGATCTCGTCTCTCTCAGTCCTACTCGGTCGCAAGAGTGTGAACGAGCCTTTACTTATAACAGAGCCGATATTTTTACGCCAATATATAGTAATATCCCCCCGGACTCTGCTGTCACACTCTTCCTCTTTGGACGAAGTTCTCGATGACGTCTCCGTAGAATCGCGTCTCAATTTCGCTGATTTCGTGTTGAAGTTCCGCCTCGAGTCCAGGAATCGTTGGAGATTTGTTCGGCGTAGACACGTGATTTCATAATTCCACAAAGGAAAAATTCGCAGGGTGTCAAATCACACGCACGGGAGTGAATTCTGGTCAGCATTACGGAAGATGACAAGAGCAGAGTGTGCCAGTAGAGTCTGGGGGACATATATGCGGACAATGAGCTCCACAACTGATTGCGGTGCGTGCACTTCATACTAAAAAAAAAACAAAAAAAAAAAACAACCAGGAAAATATGGCCAAAATTTTTGAACAAGTTACCCATTTCATTATAAAAATTAAACCTTGCGCTTCTGTTCAATACCCAGCATGGAACGCACTAGTGTTTTTTGCGGTGTTCGTTTGATTTGCACCCAGTGACATCACGATGGAGTAATACAGTATTAAGATGACAAGTTGAACTAGTTGGTCATACCTACTTGAAGTTAAAACGCCGAAAGACAGGGACAGGAAACGACAGACCAAACCAGGACATTGCGTGTCTTTCGACGTTTAAACTTGAGGAATGAGTAAAGCTGCCGGTCGCAGCGACCCTGTCGGTGATACGGCAGCGGAGGTGGACACGCCAGACACCCGTTCTGCCAATAGGTGAGCGGCGTGTAGCAACTTCCGGTTCTTTAGGAAAATTTGTTTCACTGTTCACAAACGACGGCAATGAGCTGGAAGCCTGCGCAAGCATGGTTGGGAACCCTCCAGACTGTACTTTTCGGAACCATGCTTAGACAGGCTTGCCGATATTCGTCGTTGTTTGTCAACAGCTAAACAAAGTTTCCTAAGGAACCGGAAGTTTCCAAACGCCGCTCACCTATTGACGGAAACTTCCGCAGCCACGGATGCCACGACGACAGCGCCCTCTGCGTTCGCCCTGGCAACTACAGCCAGCCACCAGGATCGCGACCAGCCGTAACATTATCCTCCGGTTCCTAACCCTCTACCGTTTTGGAGGCACACCGGTCCGAGACGCGCACCACCAGCCAATATCCGGAGGAAGCGAAATGCACCATTTTTAAAACGCGAGAATGAAAATAAATGATTATTACGACCCGAGACTGGAGCAAAAGGAGAGAAATATAGCGACCTTGTTACACATTTTTTGAAAAACCGGAGACGACGCACCAAGAAGGTGTCAAACACAAAACGTCTTCAGATTTGAGACGTTCTGTGTTTGTCCCCTTGTTCGTCCCTCAACTCCGTTTTTTTTTTTTGTTTTTTTTTTAATGTGTAACTTTTTTTTTTTAAGAGACCTTGGCTGTCCTCGTTTCTTTTTTCACCACGGTCAAAGGCTTTTTTTTCTTCTTTCTGCCCCAGTTTCAGGTAAAAATACATCGTTGTTAACTCCGACCAGCTCGTCCGCGCGTTGACTTCATCCCGAAGGCTTTCTTTTTATATAAAAAGACTGTATAAAAAGTTGCCCTTAACGAAGGGGCTCGGGGTTGTTTTTTTTTGGGTAAAGAAATAAGCCCCAAAAACTAAAACTTAGCAGGCGAAAAAAAAACGACATTTCCAAACTAAAACTCTTATTAAATTAAATTATATATAAAAAAAAAAAGCATCACGAGCATACATATTTATCTACGGTTTTGTTTTGTGTTGACGCGCCCGATCCGCACTGAAATGTCGACGAGGCTGCCTCTTTTTACGGAAACCCCTCGGGACGTCCTTCGAGCCTTCGGGTCAAACATTCGGGTCTCCCTGGAGGTTGGAAAATACCATTCCTGCTTTCTTCGACATAAGCCCCGAAACTTTCTCCCCGAAACCTACAAATGCATCGGGAAATAATAAGCGAGGACCATATTCCGGGCATTTCTTTGGTCGCGTAGAAAATAGACCCTTTTCGAAACCCGGTCAAGCGACATTTGTGATCGTCACTTGTTCGGCACGAAGCGTGACATTGGATCCGAGTCCTCGTCGATCGCCGATTCGTTTTCGATACGAGCGGAACAAAGTTTACGCAGCCATCGTGTCCAATGTGGCCTCAGTTCCCAAACGATGGCGGTCTCTGATAATTGACGAAGCCGCTAATAGATGGCACGCACTTTTGAAGAGGGTCTATCTTAAGAAATGCTCGGCCACAGGACTCGGGTTGGACCTTTCCCGGTCCACGGTGGTCGGTTATTCATTTGGCCAAAGGACCATTTCAGGTGTCGAGCCGACCCTCGTCGCGGATCATTTGCGGATGAGAAACACCAACGCCCCTGAGGATATGACACCAATCCGCTTTTTGTGCCATGCGAGGAAGCACGTTGGTCTGCCAGAAGGCTCTCGCACGGACCACTGCCCCTTGGCGCGTACTCATGTTCTTAATGGCTCGCTGGTCCGCAACTCTTGCCGTTTCTCAAGTCAGATTCGATAGACGAGTTCAGACGAGTTCACACACTCGCGTTTGCTTAAATAACACATCGGCACCACGTATGAGGTGTCCCTAGAACTGCATTTCACTAGAGTGGAGCTTTCGGAGTAGCTGCCAGATCAAATGTGCGTACTAACTATGAGATAAGTTGTTTATACCATTGTCGAAAGTTCACAAAGAAAAAAAAAATGCGCGAAAACATGCTGGTGGAGGAGGACAAGAGTAAACGACTACGATATTGGCTAGTGTAGCTACTAGTCATGCTAGATCCAGCGCTGCTGAGATCCCCCGATACAAAGGGGTTAGCCCCCCAAATCCCAATCCAATCTAATATATAAAGAAAATATACGTAAACGCCAAGTGTTCCTCCACGACTACCCAATAGATGTTAGCAGCATGTTCTAAAAGATCCCAAGAGGTCTCAAGGCGCTTGGTCTTAAGTGGTCGGAAGTGACAGCCATTATTTAGTCCACGGTATTTTACCAAGTCCGGTAAGGGAGTTTGCAGTACTTGACCTCTTGTGATGTTTGCCACTCACGGAGAGGAAGAGGCTTATTGAGAAACGTTTCTTATTAAGAATCCCTCGTATTAAAATGTTGACAAATAGCACTATCTGTTTTCAACAACACTTTGATCAAACGGCGTATACAAAACAAATCTTACCGATGCTAGAAACGTCTGGACTGAGGGCGTCATTCTTCCACTCGCTTCGACTGCAAGCTGAGGTCAACTGCGTCCTATATCTGAAAAAAGAAAAAGAGAAACACTTTAAGCAAGTCACTCCTGCGGAAAGCAGTCAGAATGGAAAAGAAACGATGACGTTAAATAAAACAAAGTAAGGACCACATATAAGCCATACAGAAAAAGGAAAAACAACGGACGAAGCCATTGGCATTCTTGCTGACGACGCGCGCTGGCCCGCTGAGATGTCGCTCTCAACTGGAGGAAAACGCTTCGAGAAGTTAGCCACACACAGAAAAACACGCTGAATGTCTAGGAGAAGAAAAAATAAGCGTCCTTTCCGGCTTTCATTTCCTCGTGATACGAACATTTTTGGGAGTACTTAGTTTTCCATTCTTCCGCTCAAAGCAAAAAAAAAAAAAAAAAAAGTGTGTGCATTAGTGTTTTTTTATTTTTTTATTTTCCCCTCCGAGAGACCTTTTAGCTGGCTACGAATCAGCGACACCATCGAATCCTTTCCGTGTGTTCTACCGATAAGGCCGAACGAGTCTCGAAAACTGGAGGGCAACGTGAGATGCCTGCAGGCCTTTTTTCAGCGAGATCGGTCCACTTTCTCTACCCGATTGTTCTCCATGAATTTGAGGGAAGTCCCACGGCTCCTTGCTCGAATCAATGGAAGACTGATTACTGAAATGAGCCCCGTATTCATGATCATCAAACGTACTGTATTATGTTAAGCTTGCGCGCGATATTACGAGTATCAGTGGGTGTGCCTGAAGATATCATAGACCGCTACTCTGTTAAGGAACAATAAAGCCTTTTCAAAGACCCCATCAAGCAACACTGGCAGGCGCCATTTTGTAGTATGTGACGTCGTGGGAAAGAAACAACTCGCACTCAACAATTGACTACTGTTTAATGTCTCGGAAGCTCTACAACAAACTGTGACATACGGGACTAGATGAGGAGGGTACGAAGAGCTTAGGAAGTTACCATAAGAGAATCAAGATCGCATTTGCCACATTCAAAGCAGAAATACTTTGTCAAAATCGAAAGAATATTACTACTTTAAGTGATATGCCATTGCAAGAAGCATCTAAGCGAATTCAGAATATGGTATCCAAGCCACCAGAAGAAGAATGCACGTACGAGGATTTCGTTAGGATTTTCAAGAGGGAATTGGAGAAATACCAAATTAAGCAAGGAGTAAAAAGGCTGAAACCCACACCGAAAAGTTGGTGGGATAACGAAGTTAAGGCAGCCATAACGCAAAACCAAGAAGAATCTAGGGAACACAAAGGGGGAAAAAAAAAAAAAAAAAAAGAAGGGGCCGCGCCAGCAGCAGTAGCATCTATATGGGAGGGGGGGCGGGGGACTTTTAGGGAAAAAAGCGGGAGGCATCAGCATTAATCCAGGCCAAAATTGGGAGAGCAGGGGTCCAGTGGATAATATAAAAAAAAAAGGAATGCGACAAAAAAGATTAGGGAGAACATTAAAGCACAGGGAAAAAGAACGGAGGGATACCGACAGACAAGAGTAGAGGGGGAAGAGGCACGAAAACACATTAGACGTATAAAGAAGCAGCTTTTTCCGAACCGGAACCAAATCAGGCTTTAGGGAACGGTAACAACAGCATAAGACGAGCATAGTGAAACAGCTGAGATGACTACAGGGGAATGGGATGAAGGCAGAAGGTATGGTCCCGGCTGGCATTGCAACAGGCTCAGTGGCATATCAATGAGGCTGATGAAAACGTTAGGAAAAATAAGCAAACTGAAACTAAGACAGGTGATTAACCGAGTAATTATGGGAGGAGATGTAACCAATTATTGAAAAATAAGTCTGATTATATAAGGGAAAGGGAGACAAAGACAGTATCACATCGTACCGACCAATTACAGAAAGATAAGTAATCTATCAACTAGCTATGCAGATTGTTGTAGTTGTTTGGGGGTTTTATGGCAGCTATGCATATTCTAAAAAGAAGAATGGGCAGGGGGCAAGCAGATACTGGGAGAGCTCCAAAATGGTTTCAGAAGGGATAGAAGGCTGGGGGATAACTTATTCGTAATCACGCAGTTCATAGAGATAGCCACCACAACCCAAAAGCTATTATGGCTTGCATTTTTGTACATAAAAGGAGCATACGACAACGTGAACCAGACAAAGCTTTGGAATCAACAAAAAATATATTGACTAAAGGGAAGTTTTCAGTTTCCACAACAGATATCTGCAGATAACAGGGTACTTATAACTTGGGAAGCCGAAACCACAAAACTAGCAGATATGAAAAGAGTACTTAGGCAGGGCTGCTCATTGTTTTCCCTAACCTTTATAATATACCTTAGTGAAATATAGAAAAAGTAGAGTAATGTAATTTAAGATTTTATCTTCCATGCATGAAGGGAAGGAAAAAAAGTAAATCAACTTTTACCAGGGCTGATGTATATATGCAGATGACATTGTACTTGTAGTAGAGTCAAGAGACAATGCAGAGACTAATTATAATTTGTAGCGGTGAAGGGGACACTTTAGGCCTAAACTTCAGTAACGACAAGTCTGGGATACGAGTTCATAACTACGAGAAGACACTGTGATGGAACATGTAAAGAGGTACAAATTTCTGGTTGAATGAGGGAAGAAAACATCTTAACGAACATGAAAATATTGTAATAAAGAAGGGTAAACAAATTCGGCTATTATGAAACACAAAGCACTGTGAAACTTTATTAAATACGAAGTTGTGAGTGGGCTATGGGAAGAAGCAATGGTACCAGGGTTGACTTTTGGTAATGCAGTCTTGTGTATGCAATCTGGAGCACAGTCAGTCTTAGAGGTAAGGCAAAGGAGTGTAGGCTGGTTAGTTTTAGGGGCACATGGGAACACACCACATGAAGGGGTGAAAAGGGATATGGGTTGGGCATCCTTTGAGAGCAGAGAGGCTACAAATAAAGTAAAGTTTGAGCAAAGGCTAAGTGATATGGAGCAGACGGAGGTGGGAGTTAAGGTATATAAGTTCTTATACGTGAAAAGCTTGGACACAAGTTGAACGAAACGGACTCGAAAGCTCCGAAACAAAATTTTACAGGCAGGCAGTGAAACGAATTCAGTAGAAAACAAAGTTAAGGATGTGGAGAAAGATAGATGTGGGAAGGAAGAATGCAAGAGAAATCAACTTTAACCATGTGTAGGTAACAAAAACAGGAAATACGAAAATAAACTTTGTTTGATAATTCTCGGGAGAGCTCTTTACTGTTTGAGGCCAGAGCTGCGGTACCAGGAACGAAGACTAATAGGGCGAAATTCGAGGATTTAGATACAGTTTGTTGCATATGTGGAATAGAGAGCGAAACTATGGAAAACCTGGTTTTGAGTCGCAAGAGGCTTAAACCTGCCCCCTATGAGGGGAGAGCAGACGTAGAGGGAGCCCCGCGTTTCGGTGGAGAAGATGGAAGGTATAAACGGGCCGAAGTAACGAAAAGAAGGTTAGCGCATTGGTGGAATGAGACTAAGGAAAACTGAAATTGGTAAACGCAACTAGCGCAACAAGGGACAGGGAGGCCAGAGGAAAATTAGGACTCTCTCCCGCGCGTGGCTCCGGCCCAAAGTCTCCAATCTGTCTCTCAGTGGGTCTGGGTTTGGAAACAACACTAACGAGGTCGACCAGAAGAGAAGTGGCGACTCCCTCGCCGGGTGCAGAAGACGGGGTGAGTTTTCCTTTTTTTCTTTTTATTTTGCATTAGCCCAATCCCCCGAAGGTCAACCTGGTGGCTCTCCCCTCCCCTCCCCCCCCCCTCCCCCCCCCCCCTCCCCCAACCAGGCAGAGGGAAAGAAATTGGGTGCTTAAGTGGGGGAGGAAAGCATTTTCTTAGGCTAGATGGCGCAAGCTACCGCCCAATACAAAGGGCATAGCCAATATCCATCCATCTATGGGCACGAAGCGTGTAATTGGATCCGAGTCCTCGCAGAATGCTGACGCAGCGCTCGCTCTCGTTACGAGCTCAGTTGAGCACACGTCACACACTCACGCAGGCCTCGTGTCGAATACATGCTCCGAGTAGATGCTCAGATATCGCTTTATGCAGAGCACACCAAGCATTTCGGGAGCGCTCATTCTTTTAACTGCGACGTCCTACAGCCAGTGGCGTTGCTGAGGACAGCGGCAAAATCCCCCCTTTTCACAGCCCAGCTGCACTCTAGGCGGTCCGCCCCCATTCCTGGTGACGCCACTTCCTACAGCTTGACGAATCATAGGTAGTTCATTTGTGTCGGGCAAATTGTTCATCGCTGCATCTCCTCAAAACTCATCGTTGTGCAGACGCCGCGATGTGATAAGTATTGTGTACTTTATGTAACAGAAGGTCTATCCGGGATGTTAAGTTTTTGCATAAGTTGGTTCACGGATCAATAGACAGTTCTACTTTGCTTGCTTCTTTACATTTTCGCATTCCTGTTAACACAAGTTCTAGAAATCGTAGGGTGTTTTATCCAGATCACCTTAACTTGTCACCTGTATCACGAATTCAACATGTCCTTAACACGAAGTATTGCGGCATTGATATTTTTTGTACAACTTTGCCCCATATGTTTTACACGTGTGCATGATTTTAAAATCGGTTTGATTATGAATGTATTTTTTGTAACGGAAATGTAAATCTTACAATGTGCTTTACCCCAAAGGCTAGCCGGCTGTTGGTAAGCAAGCACAATAAATATTGTATTGTATTGTACTATATCTCTTAGTACGGATAGTGCATCGACATTCACGTCTCGTGTCTTTTTAGTTCGCACTGCGGGAAAGATGGGCTATATTTCGGGTTACGCGGCAGTTTAATTGGGACCAACATTTATGATAGAATTATTTTGTGGTTTATTTAGGGGAGGGCTTGTATCGGGCTCTGTAGCTTGAAATTCATTTTCAAAAACCTAGGCAAGAAAAATTAAAAAAAAAAGTATTCGGTAGAATTAAGCGCATTGCCTACGATTCTTCGATTGCTGCTTCCTATGCCAACTTTATTTAATTTATGAAATTCTTCGGAACAAAGCATTGCTGAGATCCTTGTCCGATAGGAAAGCACAGCGCGATTTCGATTTAGGTTGTTTAATATAGTAAATCAAGTGACAGTAAAACCTATGACTTTCGCGTTTAAAAATTTTATTCAGTCGCCTCGATGAAGCAAGTATTGACGTAATCATTGATGTTACGGTTATTTCGAAGCGGGTGGGAATTATTAAAGCTCTTTCGAAATCTCTACGTGCGTGATTTCCTACAGACATGTTTTTAGGTTTGCTCATGTTGCGATCCTTTGATCTTTACATCTGCTCCATTTGTGCACAAAAATGACAACCTGTTGCTTGTTTCTCGAAGCATAAGAGCACTAAATTTGATATTTTTTATTATAAAATTATTAAAAGCGTTTACTCCAGCTGAACTACAAATACACCAACAAACATTTTAACATTTCGCCAGCCTTCAATACATACTTATACAAATTAGGCGGAACGCCACCGATTCACTACTTATCGTGAATGGAGTGATAAGAAGTGACTGGTTGGCGTCTCGTCTCGTTTCCGTTAATTTTTACCGAAGGTTTCACTTGTATGAACTGCAACAAAGTGACTAGAGAAATTGACGAGGCGTTTTCTATTTCTACCTGCGGAGCGGACACGTGTGTTAGTGCCCCGTCCGTGGCTTTGGCGGATGACGAAGTGTCTTTCATAAAGGAATCCGGCAGATTTGTTTAAGTGCTCGGGCGTGCCTCAAGGGGGTGGATTATGTTTTATCTATCTCGCATCTTTTATGTTTTCCTTCCTGTTCCTCGCAGGAATAAACTTCAGTTGCCAGTCAGCGTTGTGTTCGTTCACTTCTCGTTCTTGTCCCTTGTTTCTTTCGCGCTGTTTCCAAGTCTGTTTCACTTGTATAGTTGGCGAAACGCCTATATTTTTGATGGTGTATTTGTTATGTTTATTACACGATTTTAATCATGAGTTCTCCTGACTTTTGCATTGTATTACGGGCGATCGTGACAACCGAGTGAACAACAACTCAGAGCTCAGAAGTTGTATTTGTTGAACCCTGTCGAAATTTGGGTGAGTAGGCTATGCATTAAAATACAAAAACAGTGATGTGTTTGCGTACTCCTCGTCCTTCGCCCGTCTTCGCGTTTTTTCTTTGTTTTTTTATTGTTTAACTTAACGTTTTTTTAAGGTTACCAAACGTAATTAAAGAAAGCAGAAGTTGGCTAAAGATTTTTGGAAGTTTTTAACGCAAGTAAAGACCATTCCAACAATCGCCGCACTGCCATCGTTGTTTACTGGGGTATGGAACACATTGTGAGCATGCGCAGTAGCTCTCTTCCGCGAAACTCCAGACCTCCGAAACTCAGTGACCTGTCGCCTGTGTACGTAGTAAGTGCTGGAAAGATTTATCGAAAAGGAACAATGTGAACTCGTGTTCATGACCCCAGGAGAATTTTTTGCGTGTATTTTTCCTTAAGTTGTACGCACCTTTGTCTGATGCAGCTAAAAAATCTCGAGATGCTGGACGTGACTTCGGTCGTCAGATTTTTCGGAACGTGAAAATAAGAACGAAATGTTCACTAAAAGCAACAGACCTTGTTGCAGGTACCGAATCTGATCCCAGTCTAGCTTATCTCCATTTATTAAATAATATAACGGCGTCTATAACAATATGTCCTCTACTTTCGACTGTTGAACCGAACAATGCAATTAATCGCGCTACAACGGGAAAAGATAGAACAAAGGAGCGGCTTGAAATAAGACCTTGTCACTGAACTGACTTAATAATCGCGTTAAAATGAGTTATGATTATATAAAAAAAATATACCAGGTTAGAGAAATAAATCCCGAGTCAAAGAAAGAAATGCTCCATACTAAAAATATCACAACTCTGGTTTGGCGCAGAAAGCTCCAAATGAAGGTTTGACGCTCCCTTTTATGAGGTATCAGTGGACGAGTTTGTTAGCGAAATACAGCCCGGAGCAGGCGAAAGGTAAGCTCGCGCTGGGATAGAGTACTTCTTTTCAGCTTAAAGTTCGGTTCACACTGGGACGTCTGCTTGGGATTTCTTACGTAACGTGGGGAGTCATCGGGACATTGATGTATCGTACGTCGCGTGCAAAGCTGCTCCTTGACCGGTCGCCCACGCTTCATCCAAAGCACGGATGTTACGGCGACTTGCGACGTAAGTGATCGTAACGCAACGTAGGAAAGCACCCGTGTGGAAACCACCAAAACACCGGAGCAACCGTTACGCATGACTGCTTCGCGGAGCTACCTCTTGTATCACTTGCATCGTTGTGTACGGCGAACACATGTCCCGGTGACTGTCGTTTCGGTTGCTGCGAACGCAACCGCTGCAGCTGTGTGAACCAGGCTTACGACATTTCATTTACTTTTTCCTTACGGGACTTGGTTCAGACGCAGCCGACACTACCAGGTAATGGGACCAATGAAACAGCGTCGAAAGCGCAAGTCACTGGGTCCTTTTTCATGATTGGTTTAGCGATGATAGACACACGCACAAAACCATGAGGAACGGCATGATGGTGCCCTTTGGACGCATTCAGATCCGTCCCCTCAGCTCGTAGCGTCGGCTGCGTCTGGACTTAAAACCAGGCATAGGCTCAATCCTCCCCCCCCCCCCCCCCCCCCCCCCCTGCCCTATCGGTCTGAATGGGCATCGTGCAAGCGCGTGTCATCGCTGCGCGATAGACCTCAGGCTGGCAGAGGTTCCGGCACTGGCTAAATTTCTCATCTACAGCTGGGACAGTAGACGCCCAGTGGGACTGATGAACTACCCGCAGTCTCAACACGGCACAATTCTTACATGATGATTTCCGCAGCTGGCAGCAGACAAAGTACAAAGCAGACGCCCGAAACGCCTCTTGTACGCAGAGCTTTCTGGCAAAGACAGAGACTCACCCTTCGGCCTTCGGCGCTGTCCCACTGCTGACTGGAAGAGCGGCGTGACGCACCGTCGACCCTGTCTCGCTGGGCTGACAACGAGTTGACTCGGGGAATTGGAGCTTCCCCTCTCCACGCACCTCCTCTCTTTCTCCTTCTTTTCCTCCTCTCTCCATTCTGTGGATTAGATAGAACCAGCATAGTTTCGGAATTCACTGCCAGCCGCGCCTGTGCAGACTGCTCACGCGCGATTAAGACAACATGAATTGCTGTTGCGGCTTTTTATTTTTTAACTTTCGTAACTTGGCCACTGGATACCGGCCATATATTGGGACGGGATACGCGCCGTTTTCGTATATTTAGATGGTGACCTCTCTTGGTTGCTCTCCTCTTTACACCTTGCCCTTTTACCTTTCTCCCTCCCCCTCTACGCTCCGCCATCTTGGGAGAATTATTACAGGGTCGCGTCACTTCGTCTCGCCCAGCTGACTGCCAAAGGCCGCCCGCTTTGACAGAATCCTTTTTGTCTCGTTTTTTTTTTTTTCTTTCTTGCGCTCTCGCGTTTCGTCTGCAAGCATTTGTACGTTGTTTTTGCGTAATGGTTTTTGTTTAACGTGGGTGAGTGTTGACGCGCGTCTTAATGTTGTTTGTAAGTTTCGGTTTCTTTTTAATGTGTTCTTTTTTTCGTGCATCGTTTATTACGAAACTTCTTTGCGTACTCGAGTCTAAAATAACTAAAACAACAACAGCCAAAATGGCGCACAGAGCGGGTTTTGGTTCAGGAGCCAGAATAACCCGCGTTTGGCAGCCGAAATAAACTGAAAAGCGACGAACAACGACAATAATATTAACGCAGAAACAAAATTCTATGTGCAGACTTTGCGGGGGCCGCTGACTTCATTGCATCCGTTGCCAAACCAACCAGAAAGTTAGAGAACGTGCATCACTGGCACCCCATTACAAAAGATGCCCCTTCGCAATACACAATGCCCGAGCAGAGAAGGTGACAAAGGCAATCAAAGGCGATGAGTCATTCTCTGGCGCCTTTGTGCCAGGAACGCTCGTCCGAGTGTGGTGCGCAACGCTCCGTCTGCTACGCGCTGTGTGTCGATTGCACGAATCAGGACAGCTTACGAAGAATTGTCTGCTCGCCCGCCGACCGCTTGCACACGTATATTTGTAAATTTGTGTTTTCATTTGACGTGTCTAACGTAGGAATATGGAGATACTAGGGAGTTTGAGTAGACCGTGTTTCCCCCTCCGCTAGCCCTCCGCTACGAAAAAACCGCCACTGCGCCTGCGCGCCGATGGCCTCGGCTGTAGAGTTCCGGGTAGCGGAGGGGCTTAGTGGACGGGGAAACACGAGGGAGTTTTAGTAGACCGTGTTTCCCGCTCCGCTAGCCCTCCGCTACGAAGAAACCGCCACTGCGCCTGCGCGCCGATGGCCTTGGCTGTAGAGTCCCGGGTAGCGGAGGGGCTCAGCGGAGCGGGAAACACGGTCTACTAAAACTCGCTACGGTCTACTAAAACTCGCTACTGTTTCGAAGCGGGTAGTGCAGTGCTACTCCTAGCTTTCGCACTGCAGAGGATGTGCCCGGACAGAAGATAATATCCAGATTATACAGAAGAGTGTATCCTTTTGTCATGGTGATGTTTTCCCGCGATAAAAAAATCGAAAATAGTTTTGAACTCGCCTTTTCGTACGATCCAACTTTAGACTTAAGCGTAACCTACCGTACAATGACAACACCGTAAACAAAGATGTAACACGCTTAGTTTAAGATCGCGATCTTAAAGATTAGTTTACTTAAAAACACAAAAACAAAACTGGACGTATTGGATGTTTTTTCCATCAGGGTTGGCAGCAGTTGCTTCGGCGGATGCACATTGTTTCTCCTCGATATTAAACTATAACAGACAGTTGTATATTATACATCGTAGCGACGAATTTTGCACGTACTACCGTGGGAGATATGAGCTGAAACAGCCCTCTATACATCTTTTTTTTTTTTGTCTTATCTGTCAGCTTCTTAACAGGCTTTGGCCTCAAGTTTAATATGCTTTGGGGGATCGGTGGCCGAGTGGGCCAGCGCATACCAGCTCGGAGCACGCGGAGCGAAAACTCACGCTGTAGAACCCAAGGATCCTGGGCTCAATCCCCACCCTTGCCCGTTTCGATCTGGACGAGGTCGTACAGGTCGTGTATCACTACTGCGTGGTGCACGTTAAAGACCCCAGGATAGCGGTTGTACTGCACTGGCTAAATCGTTCCTCTACAGCGAGAGACTCGTCATTGGCTTTGAAATGACTGACTAACTACACGCTGTGTAAATATCGACACAACCCCAATTATTATTTAATATGCGCTAGGACGCAGAGCTTAGTCTTAGTATCTGAACTCTTTGATGATAGAGCGATCCCACTAAGCGTTCCACACATTCGTGACGCCACCAAAAAGGCTGAACCGCATGTAAGCGATTTAGCGAGCGACGAGACGAGCGACGGCGATTTCTCATTGTCCCTCGTCACGTCGCTCGGTTTTTGGATTTGTAGAAAACGTCGCTTATCGCCTTGCAAGGCGGTAAGCGACGCTTGCTCCCGTTGCTTTCATGCGGTCTGCCTCGTCGCGTGACTGACCGAGCGACAGCGAAGCGAGTCGTTTGCCTCGTCGCTTGCCAAATTGCTTGCATGCGGTTTATACTTGACTGTAGTTCATAGTCGGCAGGCGCCAGTTTACCAATCAGCTCGTGCCGCTTCATGCTATGCTTGCGCACACCCTCAGCGTAGTTATTGCGATACAGAAAGGCTACAGTTCCCATGATGCATGGTGGCAGCGGTGTCCTAATGAAACTGACTTTGAGATCGTTCTATTCGATAGATAATATTGCTTGTGAAAAGTGAGCAAAAGTCCAGATCGATGCTTCAGCCTATATTGTCCGGGGGTGTAAGTATTTGTGCCACTCGACACCCGAAAACTTAGAAAGTGGCGGGCTCAAACAGGTTTGATCGACAATCCACTTAACGGCAAATTGAGGATTAACAAAGCTTGGACTTGCGTTTGGGCTAGTTGGTTGTACACAGCTAACTGTGCTGCGCTGCGAAATTCTACAGAACATACGCGTGACCATAAAGTGAAAGGAAAACGACTGACACGACGGGTCAATCGTCGTGTCCAAATCCAAGTTTGTCGGATGCGTAGAAGGGTTCGTCTATAAAATACCATCGACGTGTCGCAAATCATACATAGGGCAGACGGGGAGGTACCTCAATGAGAGACGCCAAGAACATAAATATGCATGGGGGCAAATATCGCACGCACCCGGCAACCTGGCAGCACATTGAGCAAGATGCAGCTGCGAAACGCTATTTGGAACTACCTCAATCTTGGATGGATCTGAAGATAGGAACAACAAGCGCGAAATCACAGAGGCCTTCCACATGGCATCAAGAAAGCACGGTACGTGCGTCAGTGATCCATCAATAGACAGCTTTAGTGGATCGTACGCTATAGCTTTGCTTACGCAAGGAACTTGCGGGTCTTGAGTGCGCATGCGTAGAACGCCATAGGAGAGCTAGCGTATTGCGTACGCACGCAACGCTGGGGATCTTGCGTTGCGGGCTAGCGGGCTTTGCGGGAACCTCTCGAGAGATCTCGGGCCCAACGAGAGCGCTAGTTTCAAGATGGCGGTTACCTCGACTGGCGCAGCAAGGACGACGTGGTGTTTTCGAAGTTCAATGTTACGTTAAATTGCGTGGTCTTCTGCTCGGCAATTCTTTCCGAGACCTACCGCGGTCGAATCAGATCGCCGGGCAGCTAAAGGAGTGCACAGTGAAAATTTTCACCGCTCGGAATGTGCGTCAACGCTGCGATCTGCTCAACGCTAAGCCTACTCGTACAGTTCATCGCCGACGGAGGAACGATTCTTCAAGAAATCGCCGAACTGGTCGCTATGCACCGGAGATCAGTAGGTCATGGATTTCATTGCGCGATAGCATTGATGAAAGGTGCCGTTTCCACGGGACCATTGACGGAGGCTCCGTGATCGAATTTGGCTACGCACTCGTACTCGTAGCCTTCCTATACCCCGCAGAAAAGCGCGCTTGACTAGGCAGCTGCGGCTTGGTTTAATTTGAAATAAAAGATTAGACACGTTATCGTTTTCAATATTTCTTTTGAGAAGCATGGAAATGAGAAGCACGCGGAATGCTACGGCACGCGCAAATCTAACCAAGATCACGCAAGGTGTTCACTCGGAAACGTAACGCGCAACTAAAATCGGTTTGAGCAGGTAGTTTTTAGCGTACGCTATACTGTTGCGTATTGCGTACGTAAGAGCCAGCAACGCTATACTAAAACTGTCTAATTACGCTGACCGAAACGGAAATTGAATTGCTCAGACACTCCATAACAGGCGGACACCAGCTTCAAGGTCGCCTCTTACACCACAGAAACCGAAAGTCTATCAGATCAGGAAACAACACCACGAACATCGATAGTCCACGCGTCTTCATGATGACATTTCTCATTATTTCTCAGATGTTCGTCTTTTTCCAAACTCACGCATGGGAAAGAAAAGGGAAAAAAAGAAAAGAATAAACAGTTAATTGTTCTGTTCGTCTGCGTCCATTCACGTACGTTGTGTTGCTCCTCATATCCATGTAACTTTTAGGGGCGAAGCTCCTTAAGCGGTATTCACACGAGGGAGAAATCCCGGGGATTTCTCCCCGGCACGCGCATCCCACGACGAAAACGTCAGGCTTTGCGATGTGCAAAAGCCTCGCGTTTTTATCTCGTGATGCGCGCGTGCGGGGAGAAATCCCCGGGATTTCTCCCTCGTGTGAATACCGCTTTAGGGTCTAGTCTTGTCCGTCCGGCGTCCGTGCTCACATCGATCTTGCTGGTGCTCGTGCTCGTGATCGGGCTCTTGAGCTCACGTGCTAACGAGCACGTGAGCACGTGCTCACGTGCTCGTATAGCGCAAAAAAAAAAATGATAAAAAAAAGAAAGAAATGTTTCCGCAGTCTACAGGATTCGAGTCTGCGGGGAGACCCAATGGATTTCTAGTCCATCACCTTAACCACTCGGCGACGACTGCGGGACGAGTAGGGGGCTCTGAGATGTGGTAGTAACTCGAGAGCTGGGGATGTCATGGATGAAACGTTGCAT